GGTCATGCTTTATTAATATTGTGAACTGCCTCACCATTACCCACATATGCACAGCAATTTAGAATAGGTGCTCAGCAACGATCTGTGAAACTAATTATCGCTAATGTTTCAGGTGTGTGTGTGTGTGTGTGTGTAAACAAAACCTCTTCTGAAGTTACCTAAAGTCAGTTCTGAATTTCCACAGACTCAGCCACAGCCAGCTGGCTACAGTTCGCTCTAGGAATGCGGATGAGTTTTATTGTTGACACAAGCAAGACAATTAGGAAGGCATGTTAAGAAATTGAATAATATATTCCGAAGTGAACCGCAGTGATCTTTGGGTCACAGATATTCCTGTATAAAAGCCCAAGGGCTGATTATGTCCTTTAAATAAGAGAGAGAATCTTTTGAAAAGAGCTGTTCTCCCCCCGATCCCAACCCAAGGGAAGTGTTTGCAGCCCTACATGCTTGCTTTGCATTCCTACACACGGTTACATGCAACACTGATCTCCCCTTTGACTGTTTTGGGTCGTTACTTCCTCTGTTTGTGTAATTTTATTTTTGGCAGTATTACCATTTTTAACCACTTTATTGAGACGTGATTGACATAAAAAGTTATGCATATCTACTGTATATAGCTTGATGAGTTTGGAGATAAGTATTAACCATGAAACCATCACAACCAAGAGAAAAGAGCTGTCTTCTAAAACAGAACCACTGGCCCTGGCCAGTTTGGCTCAGTGGATAGAGCGTCAACCTGAGAATTGAAGAGTCCTGGGTTTGATTCCGGTCAAGAGCACATACCTCAGCTGTAGACTTGATCCCCAGCCCTGCTTCAGGGCACGTGCAGGAGGCAACCAAATGTGTTCCTCTCACATCGGTGTTTCTGTCTCTCCCACTCCCTTCCACTCTAAAAATCAATGGAGTCGGGTACCATTCTGTGGCTCAGCCCATGTGGCTTTCCAGATGACCATAATTCTTTACCGCCCTCCCCCCCAAAAAATCAATGGAAAAGTATCCTAGGGTGAGGATTAACAAAAAAATTAAAAAATAAGATAGACCCACTGGTGCAATCAAAATATGATATAACTTAGAAATATTTGATGCACATACTTTTATTTTTCCTGGATATAAAGCAAGGTGGACTTGCATCAACTCTCCAGAATTATTTGACCTCCTACTCATCTGCATTAAGCTAGAGGTTTGGAAGGTGGTAGGCAAGAGACCTATAGTAGGCCAAGCTTCAGAACACTGTCCTTGCCCATATACCACACCACAGAGCCCTGTCCACAGCCCTGCTGTTGGCAAAACCAGGGTTTGCCCCTCACAATGACTCCCACCTGCCCTCAGCTAGTTGGACCAGGGCTGGCACCTGACTCCAAGCTATTAGGCCAGGGGTGGGCAAACTTTTTGACTCGAGGGCCACAATGGGTTCTTAAACTGGACCAGAGGGCCGGATGGAGTGTTTGTGTGAACTACGAGCCACGTGCAGCTCTTTGGCCCCTTGAGTGTGGCTCTTCCTAAGCCTTAGGAGTACCCTAATTAAGTTAATAACAATGTACCTACCTATATAGTTTAAGTTTAAAAAGTTTGGCTCTCAAAAGAAATTTTAGTCGTTGTACTGTTGATATTTGGCTCTGTTGACTAATGAGTTTGCTGACCACTGCCATTGGCCACTAGGTGACATTTGGCGAGGTTTAGCCCAGAAAAACAAGGGGACCAAATCAAATTCCCACATTTGAGAGGATGAATGGAGAAACTTTATGAGTCAAAGGCAGCAGGCATTGGCCACATCAAGGCAGAGTTCTGAGGGCACAGACACTATTTGTAAGCAGAGAGAGCCCATCAATAGAGACCATGCTTGGCCAAAGGAATGGAGAGGGTATCCAATCCTTAAGGATGCTTTGAGTCCACATACCCAGTGGCAAGAGCAGTCCAGGCCACACTTGTCTTTTAAAGTAAAAAATGAAAAATAGGCCTGGCTGGTTTTCTCAGCGGTCAGAGCATCCGCCCGCAGGCTGAGGGTCATGGATTTGATTCCTGGTCAAGGGCATGTACCTTGGTTACAGATTCAACTCCTGGCCCGTTCAGGGCACGTGTGGGAGGCAACCAATCAATGTGTCTCCTATCAATGTTTCTCTCTCTCTCTCCCGCCTCCCTCCATTTCCTTTCACTCTCAAAAAAAAAAAAATCAATGGAAATAATATCCTCAGATGAGGACTTAAAAATAAAATAAACACCTTTACTTGCAGGAGGGTGGGGAAGTGGGAATCCAATCCTCACACCCAAAGAGGCTTTAAGTGGAACTGAGCTGACCATAGGGCCAGCACCAGCCCACTGCACGGGCGGAGAGGCATCAAACTGGGGTCCTGACGAGGGTCACTGGTTCAGCTGTAACTAACTCACCATACGATTTTGTGTGAGTCGCTTCATCTCAGCCTCAGTTTCCTCATTTCCTCTTCTGAGGATCAGACTAGGTAACATCAGGGAAAGTCATTTGCAAGCTGTGATGTCACCAGCATGTGGCAGCAGGACCACCCCCCAGCTGCGGGCACTCGAAGGGCAGAGGCAGGCCGAAGGGTCACAGAAGTTGCAAATAGACTGGTGCAAACTTGAGAAGCAGCGACAGAACTGGGGAGCTGCTGGAAACCCCGCTGGCGGAGACAGACCAGCCAACTTGGAACGGCACAGGTCAGAGTGGGAGCCTGAAAAAGGCGCTGGGCAGCCTGGCAGGTGGGCAGAGCCGAGCACGGCAGAGGTGTGCACAGGTGAAGTGTGGAGTTTCCACGCTCTGATATAGGACTGCACGGGGCGTTTCCACCACACCTCTGCAAGGAATGAGTTCCAATAAGTAGAGGCTGGTCTAAGGGGCAGGAAAACTGGGTTTGGGTCCTAAATCTTTCATCAGTTTGTGTGATACTGGGCAAATCACTCTACCTCTTCCTTGGTTCTCTAGCCTGCAAATTAGGGCAGGGAAGGAAAAACAAAGAACTTTACATGTGCACAATACTCTAAATGCTACACAATGTTCCCACAAACTTGATTTTTTAAACATGTTAATCTCCTCAACAATCTTGGGAGGCAGGTGAGGTCGAAGCAACTTTATGGTACAAATGCCATCGATTTGCATTATTAGGTGCCAGGCATTGTAGTAAACATCATACATCACTATCTCATTTAATCCTCATACCAACTATTTGAAGTAGGAAACTATTATTGTCATCTCTAGTTGATATATGAGAAAATTGAGGCTCAGAGCAGGAAAGGAACTTGCCCAAGTCACTCAGCTAAATGGTAAACCTGGGTCCACATCCCAGATCTCCTCATTGTAAGCCCAGGGTTTTCCATTATACTAAACTAGAGGCCCCGTGCACGAATTCATGCACCAGTGGGGTCTGGCTGAAACTAGCTCTCCAACATCCCCCGAGGGGTCCCAGATTGTGAGAGGGTGCAGGCCAGGCCAAGGGACCTCACTGATCAGCCAGACCCCAGCAGCAAGCTAACCCACCTGTCAGAGTATCTATCCCTTGGTGGTCAGTGCACATCATAGTGAGCAGTTGAGCGGCCTTAGCATATCATTAACATATTATACTTTGATTGGTTGAACAGCAGACCAGTTGACCAGACACGTAGCATATTAGACTTTTTTTTAAAAATATATTTTATTGATTTTTTACAGAGAGGAAGGGAGAGAGATAGAGAGTCAGAAACATCGATGAGAAAGAAACATCGACCAGCTGCCTCCTGCACACCCCCTACTGGGGATGTGCCCGCAACCCAGGTACATGCCCCTGACCGGAATCGAACCTGGGACCCTCCAGTCTGCAGGCCGACACTCTATCCACTGCGCCAAACCGGTTTCGGCAGCATATTCGACTTTTATTATCTAGGATGGTGTATGTGAAAGCACTGGAGAGAAACAAAGCTTCGAGAATTGCACCAATGGAAGAAAATTTTTATTACAGCAAAACCCAGTTACAAGCCTTTTAGTTGGAGCTCAATTAGGGTAGACGTTAATAACCAGACACTTTTGCTTATAACACCTTTTGGCTGTGGTCCTGGGTGAAGGTCTGAAGCACTAGAGCAACCTAAGGAAATGAAGACTTGGGAAGCTCCGTGGGGCAGTGGTGCACAGGATGGCTGACAGACAAAAATGCCAATTGGCGTGGGGGAGGAAGGCAGGGTTAACGGCTTAACTACAAGGCTACAGAAATAGGAAAACAAATCAACCATTAATCCTCTACTCAGAGATAACCGCTGTCGATATATATTTTTTTCCAAGCACGTGTTTTTGTTTGCCTCTAAAGAACAGGAACCACACAGGACAAAAAGCGATTTGTAGAGGAAAACTCTGCGGGACCTTGGTAACGATCTACAAATGGGCTGAAGGGACCTCACCGAGCTCGGGTCTCGGCCGGGAAGCCGCCTGCATGCTCAGTCGCGCCCTTAAAAAGCACGGAATTCTATCTCTATGGTCGTTCCGGTGCCGGAACAGAGGGTACACTCTCTCCTGTTGCGGAACTCTATGGTCGAGGACGCACTGTGACCCGGAAGCGATCCTGGGACGCCGACGGCAAGATGGCGGCGCGAGCAGCGCTCGGGGCCTGGTGCCGGCGTCTCTGGCAGGCAGGTACCGGGCAGGCTGGGGGGTCTAGGCGGGCCCGCAGGGACAGTTGCCCCTCAGTCTGTCTGACAGCCGCCGTTCCGGCCACCAGGAGCCTTTCCCGTTTTTATTCCGCATCTCGGCTCCTTTGCAGGACGGTAGCAAGAAAGGGGTTGGTTTTACCTCGAATTCTCGCACGGGATAAAACAGAAGTCAGGGCAAAGGCAGGAACAAAAAGAATGACAGAGCTGGAAAGGATGTTGAACTTCATACATTCCAACTTCCTCCCCTTTTATGTTTGCAAAATAAGCCGAGGCTCAGAAGACGGGAAACTCGCCTGAAGACAATTCGGGGCTGAGGTCTCCATTCTCCCCGCAGACTGAATGGAGACCCTCTCCTCCGGCCCGGGGTTCTGAGGTTTAGACCCGCGTCACGCAGGTGGGAGAGGTAGGGAGGGGGGCGCGACGGCATAAGCTCCGCGAGGTTCCCGGAAGAAGCAACAGCTTAAGCAGCGGTCCTCGAGGTTTGGGGCCTCGGCCCTCTTTACACCCTAAAAAAGGTCAGCTCCGGACAACTGGTTTTTGTGAGTCTTGGTTATCGACATGTATTTCGCTTATTCGAAAATAAAACTTGAAAAATAACACCAGTACGCCCCTTACATGTTAGCCTAACGGACAGATTTGTGGCAATAGTTAAATTTCCCAAAACAGTCAGTGAGGATGAGACGACTGGCCGTTGTTTCATGTTTTCCCAAATCTCTCTAATGTCTGGCTGGATGGGAGACGGCTGGAGTCGCGCGGCTGCCCCTGCGTTCACACCACCATCACTCGGCCCCTGGAAGCGTTCCTGGTGAAGGAACGAGGGTGAAGGGCGCCTGGGAGCCTCAGTGTTACCGTGGAGTCGCTTCCGCCTTCCGGCCCCCCGAGGGTGTGCCGGGTCCGCAGGGCAGGGGTTCCGCAGGGCACACTTTGAGAACCACTGTTCTTAAGACCAGACTGATGGTGTGAGAGGTTGAAATGTTGAACGAAGACACTTACCCAGGTACTCTTTAACCTCCTCAAAAAGAAAACTGAGAACTGAAGGTTAATTTTGGCTGTAACGGCGCTTAGTCCCCAGCTCTCAGCAGCAGGGGTGTTGGCCTTGGCCGGGTAGCTCCGTAGGTGGGAGCTGGTCCCAGGGTTTGGGTTCGATCCCAGTTGGGGCGCCTACAAGAATCCACCAGTGAATGCGTAAGTGGGACGGTCAAGTGATGTTACTCTCTCTCCTCCCATCCTCGCTGTCTCTCCAAAAATCAATACTTTTAAAAAATAAGTAAAAGCAGAGGTTGATACTGGGAGAATGGAAGTGGCAGGGGTACAGCTGAATCAGCGGGGTCCCTGGCAGACAGGTGGGGAGGGAGCTTCCTGTGTGGCTATGGGTGAAGAACGGCGCTTACCTCCTCCTACCTGCTGTTGTACCTGATTGCCTCCTCTTTTTGTCTTTCCCCCAATCCAAGGGAGAATGTTAAATAACATTCATTTATATTAAATAAAATGCTTAATTTGCTTCCATCTTGGGTTAAGAGGGGAAGAAGGACCATAAACTAAGAATAGGCGATGCTTCTCTGTCTCTGGATCTGTTTCTGTTCATCAGTTTATGTTGTTCATTATATTCCATAAATGATTGAGATCATGTGATATTTATCTTTCTCTAGATGACCTTCAGTTGTTACAATAAAACTTCACTTGTGCTAAACAGTTATTCTCATCTTCAGAGTAGTTTTAAGGATCCTAGCATGCTTCCAGTTTCTTGGGTTACACTTTTTAAATTAAGTTTATTGGGGTGACATTGGTTAATAGGATCATGTAGGTTTCAGGTGTGGCTTTCTGTGTTACAAGATCTGTATTTAAATCTCAGGAAAGCTTAAAGGAAAAACAGATGGCAAATTAAATATATATAGTACCACGTTTCCTTCAACTAGAAGTTTTGATCCACTAGGGGGAGCTGACAATAAAGGAATTGGAAAAGCTGGGTTGTTGAGTTATGAGGCACGGTCATGCTGTAAATGGATGTCAGTTTCAGTGTATATTTCTGTTTATAAGCTAGTAGTCCCGGCAAAGCCAAGAAATACATATGCTGGAAAATATGTATAAAAGCTTCAAAAGAAGTGTACTTCCGAATTCTTATTTCAACTCTATTTAATAAATTATAAAGACATTTTTGTTCAAAAGTATTGAGGCAAATAAGTATTATGTTGAATTACATTTAATCTGTAAAAAATAATGGGGATATTAAGCCACATTTTTTTCTTTGAAGTCTACAAATTTAATTTATAGCTGTTATTTTATTGTGAGAATTACTTGTTTTTAAAATTTTCTTCTAAGCTTTAAAATATGTAGGTTCTCTAGTATTTTGAGAGTCCCTTTTGATTATCAATGCTACTATTGTCTTTTTTTAAATAAAATCTAATTTGGCATTTTAGTTACCCAATATCTTCATCAGAAATAATGAGATAGCTCTTTATTTGAAACAGCATACATCTTTTGATTTTTTTAGTGGAAACTATGAATGGTTTGGGGATTGACTTTAATTCTTACATGTTCCTTTTTCTTTTAAGGGTTCGAGGGATTTTTCTGTAAGCAGTTCTAAGAGCAGAACATCCAAAAATGGTGCCTTTCTTCTGTAAGTATGCAGTTGGATGTGCTGCACTGAACAAGAAAATGGGCGCTTGTGCTGTTTGACTTAGATTTCTCTTTTTCCCTCCACACAGCAGTTCCAGTATGAAGTGGGTTCAGTTTTCAAACCTACACGTTGATGTTCCCAAGGACTTGACCAAGCCTGAGGTATGTGCTCCCTGCATCTTGGCATAGGGAGCCACGTCAGCGGTTACTTTTCCTTATTTCCTTTGGGGGTTCTTTCCCAAATGCTTTATGACTAAAAGTGTTGTTCTGGATTCCTGGCCATTGCATAGTGTGCCTGAGTAGCGTAGTCTCTGATGTCCCTGGTGCTCATGTTCTCTTTCAGGGTATGTAGGCAAGTTCTAAAAGAATAAATTATTTATCCCACATAAGTGTGGGAGTGAGCAGTCTTTTGCTTGTAACTCAGAATAATGTGAAGAATTGTCATAACTAATGATGCAGAATGTGTGATGTGTTCAAGGAACATTTGTTTCCTGTAGCTGTCAAGTCTTTGTTCTCATTTTAAGACAGCCAGGCCTTGACGGTGAGAGAGAGCAGTAACACTAGTAAAATCAGAAGTAGCTTATGACCTTGTTCCATTTAAGTAAAGGCCATGATTCCTTCAATCCAGTTTTTCTGTTATTTGTAATTTTTTGAAATCCTTATAAAGTCTCATTTTTTCCAATTCCACACCTCAAATAACCCTCGAACAGTTTAGTTTGAATCTTTTTAGACATTAGTCTGTACGCAATCATTCTATCTAGGCACATGCACACCAAAGTAGAATTGTGCTATACATAATGTACTCTGTTTCATTTTTTTTTCACTTAGAGACTGGATATATTTCCATGACAATACATACATACCTCAGGTCTGCAACTCAGATGCCTGCATGGCCCAGACTGTAAGGAGGGGTGACAGGGTGGTCACAATGACCACTGTGCCCCTGATAGGTGAGACAGCTACTACTTACTCTAGCTACTTATTGCCGTTGAGAAGTCAAACCTAGTGATGCCAGATTGTCTAAATTTTCCAAGCTAAACTGAAATATAAATTGTTACGTGAAATCTCCTGAATTTTAGTATTTTTAACAGGTTCAAAACCTTGTAGGGAGCCCTAGCCAGATAGCTTGGTTGGTTAGGGTGTCGTCCCAATAAGTCAAGGTATGTATCGTTCAATCCCCAGTCAGGGCACATGCAGGAATCACCTAATGAATCCATAAATAGGTGGAACGACAAATCAGTGTTTCTCTTTCTCTTTCTCTTTCTCTCTCTCTCTCTCTCTCTCTCTCTCTCTCTCTCTCTCTCTCATGCACTCACTCTCAAAAAATAAATTAATTATTTAATTTTAAAAAATCTATAGAGCCCTGACCGGTTTGGCTCAGTGGATAGAGCGTCGGCCTGCGGACTGAAGGGTCCCGGGTTCGATTCCGGTCAAGGGCATGTACCTTGGCTGTGGGCACATACCCAGTAGGAGGTGTGCAAGAGGCAGCTGATCGATGTTTCTCTCTCATCGATGTTTCTAACTCTCTATCCCTCTCCCTTCCTCTCTGTAAAAAATCAATAAAATATATTTAAAAATAAAAAATAAAAAAATCTATAGGAAACAATAAGAATACATCTTAGGTCTATATTCCCCCTTCCCTTGTCCCCCAACTTTTGCCATAGGATATCAGTATATTCTGTTCTTCTAACAACCCTCTTTGGGGTAATTGAGAGTGAATGTCTAGCTTCCTGATTATGTAAGTAGATCTCCTTTTAGGGGTGAAGTAATTAACCCTGAATCATTGGATTAGTATATAAATTACTGTTTTAATGGATGAATGAAGTGGAGGTAATTCACCTCTTGGAAGAAAGAAGCATCGGACCCATTATTGCTAAGATTTTAAGTATTCGGGCGGGAGAGTTAGAAGTTAATGTACAGTCAGTATCATAACATGTTAATTAGAAATGAGTAATTTTTCTATTATGACAGGAAAAACCATGAATAAAGCCTAATAAAGACTATGGCCCTACCCTGGCTGGTGTGGCTCAGAGGTTGAGTGTTGACCTATGATCCAAGAGGTTGTGGTTCAATTCCGATCAGGACACATGCCCGGGTTGCAACCTCAGTCCCCAGTAGGGGACATGCAGGAGGCAGGCAATCAATGATTCTCATCATTGATGTCTCTCTCTCCCCTCTCTCTTCCTCCCTGAAATCAGTAAAAATGTATTTTTTAAGAAGAATATGGCCCTGGCCCATGTGGCTCAGTTGGTTGAGCATTGTCCCATGCACAGAGAGGTCGCTGGTTCGATTCCCAGTCAGGGCACATGCCCGGGTTGTGGGCTCAGTCCCCAGTAGGGGGCGTGCAGGAGGCAGCTGATCAGTGTCTCTCTCATTGACCTTATCCTCTCCCTCTCTCTGTCTCTAAAATTAATAAAAAGACATTTTAAAACAAAGAATATGAACGGGCCCTTGCGGGGCGGCTGCTTGTTGAAGCGTCATCCCTCACACTGAATGACTGTGGTTCAGTTCTAGGTCAGGGCGTTACCTAGTTTACAGGTTTTGATCCCTGGTCGGCACATGTACAGGAGGTAACTGATTGATGATTCTCTCTCACATCAGTGTTTGTCTCTCTGTTTCTCTCTCTTCCCTTCCTCTCTAAAATCAATAAACATACCCACAGGTGAGGATTAAAAGAAAAAATATGAATAGTAATTACTCACCTTTATATAACAACTAGCCCAGCCTGTACCCTCTCACAGTCCGAGAGCCGCAGTCTGGCCTCCCTCTGCGGTAGGTGACCGGGGTGGTCTGATCAGGAGTTGGGTGCCTGCTGGCGAGCAGCTGACCCTGCCCCCCCCACCCCCCATCACCCCTCCACCGCTGGCCTCCTGCTCCCCAGCCCCACCTCCTGCTGACAAGTCATTATGCCATTCAGTCGATTTGCATATTATGCTTTTATTATATAGGATGTTTTATCATTTATAAACACTTTAATCTGTTTTCTTATTTAATGAAATGCTGTGAACTGTAGCATCAGTATTCTGTTTTATTTATTTATTTATTTTTAAATATATTTTATTGATTTTTTACAGAGAGGAAGGGAGAGGGATAGAGAGTTAGAAACATTGATGAGAGAGAAACATCGATCAGCTGTCTCCCGCACACCCTCCACCGAGGATGTGCCCGCAACCAAGGTACATGCCCTTGGCCAGAATCGAACCTGGGACCCTTCGGTCCTCAGGCCGACGCTCTATCCACTGAGCCAAACCGGTCAGGGCAGTATTCTGTTTTATATATGAGAAAACTAAAGTGCAGTGAGATTATGTGACTTGCCCATTGTCATTTAGCTAGAAGTAGCGGAGTTTAATTCTCAATCCAGGTCTTCTGACCAGGCTACTTTTGTTAACAAACTCAAAAATCCTTTCCCATTGTGAATTTGGAGCTCAATAACTCTTAAGTTAGAAGGTTCCATTAGTGATTTTGTTGCCTTGAAAGTCCCTTTGATTCAAACTGCATTTTAACAGATTCTAAGGGTCATTGTGCAGATCTGAATGTGATAGTAATTAGATACTTAAGCTTATAGTGTTAAAATGTTACATAGCATTTTTCTCCCCACTTATTACTAAACTCTGAAGTTGCTCAATTGAGTGAGGATAATATGTTAAATATTTTAGTTGCAAATATTAGAGGAACCACAAATGAACCTTTCCTTTTTTATTTCAAAATTGTAGATAACTATTTCTGATGAACCAGACACATTGTATAAGCGCCTGTCAGTTTTAGTAAAAGGCCATGATAAGGCTGTGTTGGACAGTTACGAATATTTTGCCGTGCTTGCTGCTAAAGAACTTGGTATCTCTATTGAAGTGTAAGTATAATCTTTCCTAATCTGACCTGTCAGTTGTAACATGATCAGCCAGAAAATGGTGCTGATTCCAGCCAAGTGTGAGCTCTTAAAATGGAATAGAACTCATGCTAGGTAGGGTGTAGCTTTGTCCTGTTATCCTAAGCAGGATCATCCCTCCTGTCTTCTAGAATGTTTAAATACTAGAATGAGTGAACCACGAAAATGAAGGAAATCCTTTCTCTACCAATTTCATAGACAGGAGATCCAAGAAGCCCTCATGTCCGGGATCGCGATGGGGCAGTTAGGTGGGCAAGCAGTCCTTTTATAGATCCTTTGATTTGATGCTCTTTGGCTAATATATTCATTGTTTCAAAACTGCCCTGAGAAACACCATTCACCCAGTAATTTCATGCCTGAGCAAGGTGAGCTTCATATGGCCCTGAAGTCACTGCAGCGTCAAGTGTAACCACCTCCTTTGTCTTGTCACCTGCTCCTGATGTAGAACAAGGCCCATTTGGGGCTTTGCCAGTCTGTCCGCCTCTTTACAAAACACAATGAATCCATGTTTTCCATAACAGACTATAGTTTTATGATTATGGGTTATCTGTAAATTTTCCTAAAATAATACATACAGCAGACATTACCACTGTGTCCATCACACGGGTGTTGCTTTTCACAGTTCGTATATTTGGTCAGTAAGGGACTTCAAGGCTGCAAAAGCTGGAGGGGTATGTGTGTGTGTTTGAGGGTGCGTGCACTTGCATGCCAAGGCTCAATTTTGGGGCTGTGGAAAAAAAATGTTTGTGTTGCTGTCCAAGGTGTTTATTTTGGCCTGAGCTTTATAACATCAGTTGTTAAGCATAGATGATAGTCCTGACAAGTAGAAGTCTGTAAATAGTAGTTAATGCCTGTAATTGAGCATGAACCTGACCTACAAAATTGTGGGATCGTGCTTTAATATCACTGACTAAGGTTTTATCATCCCTTAGCTTAAGCTTGTTGTTTTGCCCATTAACTTTCAGGCATGAACCTCCAAGGAAAATAGAGCGATTTACTCTTCTCAAATCAGTGCATATTTTCAAGAAGCACAGAGTTCAGTATGAAATGAGAACACTTTACAGATGCTTAGAGGTGAGTTTATTTCAAATCGTCAGGTATTTTTGAAATGCCCCATTTCATACTACCATAACTTTACTTTCACATTGGCTGCCTTCCTTTTAGTCAGCTCATGCTAATGGTTGCAGAGATGGTAAAAGGACCTTTTGTGTTTATGGGAGCAACAGACAGGAAAATCAAACTCAAATAAAGCCATCCTTTAGAATAGCTCTACTTCAGCTTAATAATGCAGATGATGCTGACTAACTGTTTTTAATTTTTTAAAAATTTGATTACCCCTAGAACAATTTATATTTCTCAGAGCAACAGATCAAACCATACAAGCATTACTTTTTGTTTGTTAACCCTCACCCGAGGATATTCTTTCCGTTGATTTTTAGAGAGAGTGGAAAGGAGGCAGAGAGACAGAGAGAAACATCGGTTGGTTGCCTCACGCAGGCAGGGATCGACCTGCAACTGAAGTACATAACTTTGACTGGAATCGAACCCGTGACGCTTCAGTCTGTGAGCCAACACTGAGCACTGAGCCAAACCGGCTAGGGAGCTGACTAGTTTTTAAAATATATTTTTATTGATTTCAGAGAGGAAGGGAGAAGGAGAGAGAGATAGAAACATCAGTGATAAGAGAGAATCATTGATCAGCCATCTCCTGCATGCCCCCCACCGGGGATCGAGCCCACGACCTGGGCATGTGCCCTTGACCAGAAATGAACCTGGGATCCTTCAGTCTGCACAGGCCAATGCTCTCTCTATCCACTTAGCCAAACCAGCTAGGGCAGCTGACTAAGTTTTATACAATAGGATAGCATTGGAATAATTTGCTTGCTTTTCAAAAATTCTAGTTAAATTTCCACCCAGGTCTAATAATTCTTCTCGTATGCTTCCTGGATTTCCCATGTCTGTGAGGGGCAGCATTACGATTTTTCATTCACCTTATTCATTTGTGCATCCACTAGGGTTGACATAGTCTTGTGGTTAAGGAGTGCATGGGTTCTGGAGTCAGGCAGCCAGTTCCTAGCTGCATGCCTTACTAGCTGTATGCCTTGTGCCTCAATTCTTTACCTACAAAATGGGAATAATAATGGTACCCATCTCCTAGGTTATGTGAGGATTAAATGAGGTATTTATCTAAAACACTGGGAATACTTTGTCACGTAGTAAATGATCTATAAATGTTATTAAAACAACTGTGCATCTTTTACATTGGAAGTGCTAGACTAGACATTGAGGATACAAATATTAAGATGTAGTTCCACCCTTAAATGGAAAAAAAACTCCAAAATTGTATGCGCCCATGTCCAACAGAAACACTTCAGCATGAAGCATGTAGAACATCTCATGCTAACTCTTACCATCTAGTCCAGTGATGGCGAACCTCTGACACGCGAACTCATTTTTTGGGTTGATTTTTCTTTGTTAAATGGCATTTAAATATATAAAATAAATATCAAAAATATACATCTTTATTTTACTATGGTTGCAAATATCAAAAAATTTCTATATGTGACACGGCACCAGAGTTAAGTTAGGGTTTTTCAAAATGCTGACAACGCCGAGCTCAAAAGGTTTGCCATCACTAATCTAGTCTGTGTCCTTCTGTGTTGTGTGTTAAGTTGTCTTGTGAATATACTGCTCTGATACCTGCTGGCCAGCTGGGTTCCATGCAGCTTTGGCTTCCAGACATCTGGGAGGAGGGTGCTTCAGGGCCGTGCTCTCCATTCAGTTCCACCAGAGGAGCTACAGGGCTTTTAAAGTTGGGATTCTGTTTAAATTCCATAGAGGAAGAAAAGGCTCTACCACTTTTACCAATCAAACTTTAGAATTTCTACTCTAACAGCAGAGTATGAACCAATTTCATGTTTGAAATTTCAGCTAAAACATCTAACTGGAAGTACAGCAGATGTCTACTTGGAATACATTCAGCGAAACTTACCTGAAGGAGTTGCCATGGAAGTTACAAAGGTATGACTTTAATTTCTACCTCTATTGGGGGTAGTGTGTGTGGGGAGCTCCCTAGGTGTAATCTGAAACCACCCCTGGATGTGGAGGCAAGGAGAGAGCACAGAGAGGCAGACCACTCCAAGGGGTAGGTGGCAGATTTAATAAGCAGGAGAACTTACTCACCAGCTTTGTCATGGGCAGCTGCCAGACAGTTTGCTTTCTGCACACACCTGCCAAATCTTAAAAGTTATATAGAGGCCCCAACTTGGGTCATTCACATACCCAGGAGACTTTAACTGGGTCAGTCATGTACCCAGTCCAGAAAGTCTCAATACCACATTTCTATCTCAAACCTGTAACCTTGGAGCAGGTTCTGGGAGCAGGGAAGGCAGCAGAACACACATTCCAAAACACAGGGGAGGAGGCAAGGAGCCTTTGATTGCCTGGGTTCAGCTCACAGGTCAAACAGGCGGTCATGTCTTTTTGATGACCTCCCCCAACAATCTGTAATTGTTGTAATACACTAGAGGCCCAGTGCATGACATTCGTTCACTGGCGCGGGGGGTGTCCCTCAGCCCAGCCTGCACCCTTTCGCAGTCCGGGAGCCCTCAGGGGTTGTCCAGCTGATGGCTTAGTCTCCTCACAGAGAGCGGGCCTAAGCCATCAGTCGGACATCCTTAGTGAGCCACAGAGGCAGGAGAGGCTCCTGCCACCACCGCTGCATTTGCCAGCCGTCGCCCAACTTGTGGCTGAGCGGCGCTCCCCCTGTGGGAGCACACTGACCACCAGGGAGCAGCTCCTGTGTTGAGCATCTGCCCCGTAGTGGTCAGTGCGCATCATAGCGACCGGACGTTCCGCCGTTCGGTCGATTTGCATATTACCCTTTTATTATATAGGATTGCAGCCTGGTCCTGGCCCACTGAGTGGAGGGGAGGGCCTGTGGCAGACCTGGAGGCAAGATTGCCACAGTGATTGGGGTCTCCACATCCTCCCCAAGCTACCTCCAAAGTCTCCCTCCCTCCCAGTAGTTGTTCAGACATGGGGACCACATTAGGTGGCAGCCCCTAGAAATCACTGAAGATTAAATAGATTATATGTATCAGAGTTTTATATACCATCAAGTTTTCTTCTCTCTGTTTTCAAAGCCTACAAAAAGGTGAGAGAGGTATGGGGGAAGGGGATTGGTGGCAAGTAGGGGCTGGGAGGTAAAAGAAGTCAAGAGGATTTAAGGGGACAAAACTAATCTATTTTGTGGCCAAAGAGTTCAGTTAAGTCCACATTATATTATAGTTCTATTTTTCTGTTTTTAGACAAAATTAGAACGGTTACCAGAACACATCAAGGAGCCAATCTGGGAAAAGATACCAGAGGAAAAGGAAGAAAGCAAGTCATAAAGTCTCAGACTAGTTGTGCGGGCTTTTGAATGCGGGCGGGCAGCCACGTGGGCTCAAGTGGAGCGTGCTGCCAATTGAGACGGTTCACTGTTGAGTCCACATGTCCTGATCATGGGCAGCAGGGGATGGAGCACTAAGGATACAATGGCCTGCAGTGGAAGAGCCACTTTCTCTGTCCTTTTACACATGTCATCATTTCAGTTCTGATTTTACCAAATGTGAGTAAACCGTTTTGACCACTATGTACCAAAGGAGTCTATTTATATTTTATTCTGCTATTGTTCAATTATTAGTTTGTACTAATTTTAATTTACAGCGTATCATGCAACTGAAAGTGAATATTTGAAATATTGCTCACATACATTTTTTTCTTTAGAAATTCCTAGAACAGTGGTTCTCAACCTTCTGGCCCTTTAAACACAGTTCCTCATGTTGTGACCCAACCATAAAATTATTTTCGTTGCTCCTTCATAACTGTAATGTTGCTACTGTTATGAATCGTCATGTAAATATCTGATATGCAGGATGGTCTTAGGCGACTCCTGTAAAAGGGTCGTTCGACCGCCAAAGGGGTCATGATCTACAAGTTGAGAACCGCTGTCCTAGGAGGAACCTTTGGTTAATTTGATTAATTTAACACTGAGCAATTGAAGTTTTTGATACTCTAGAACAGGCCAGCATATAGTTGTTTGTTCGGGGGTGATGACCTCCAAATTTGACCTCATTTAAGCTATCCATTCTTGAAAATGAATATACTTTGCAGCAGATCAAGCACACTTGAGGCATATACTGCACCTTCTAGTGGCCCAGACCCTGCAGGGCTGCCTAAAAGGGTCACTGTAATGGAATTTAAGCTCTCAAGACATTACCACTGTATCATTTCACCCATCCTGTGATTCATTCATTCAACGGGCTCTTATTTTGTTAACTTACCAAAAATTGAATAGAAATAGCAGCCTTTAAAAATTGTGCAAGGCACAAACTCTTTTCCTTATTAAGTTCCTCGCTGATAAGAAGGCCTCTCTCGGGGTAACGGCGGTCTTTTGTTTGGGGATGTCTACTTTCCATGAAATTAGATAGAGGTTAAAGCCCCGAAAGAAGCAGGGCTGCTACGGGCTGAGACTGTTGATGGAGCAACCCCCAGGGAGTGATTCGTTTCCTTTTTACAGCAGAACCAGGGCCTCGTCTTTTGTGGTTTTCTTCACATCTTTGGAGTAGTTATGTCTTCTCAGTTTCCCCCCCTGCACTGGAATTCCTGTTCTCTCTTCCTTACCTGCTATCAGGTATCGGTGTTTTGAATGCATGCTGCTTATGTATCAGACTTACATTACTGTCATTAACATGAAGAGAATTACAGCCTTGGGGCCCCTCGCCTCCTTCCCTTCTCAGCCCAGTTGTTGACTGTCATTCACAAATGCCTAAAGCATGCTTATCTCGGGTCTAAGCAGGTATAAGGCTCAGGATTAAGAACTAGTCAATAAAACAAGAGCAATATAATGGTAATTATATCTAGCAAAGCAGCAATTTGTGACCTATTTGAACTTTAATTCTTTAAAAATAAATACAGCTTTTTTGTATGTGTTTTTAGATAATATTAATCACTGTAGTATGATAGGATGATTTATGCACACTCAGCTCCAGTGACTCACTGTGAGCTAAAGGGGTGCATCCGAGTCCGACTGTTTTCATTTTCAATTAACCCGTAAACCAGATTACTCAGGTTGGCACTTCAAATTATATATTAAAATCTTGTTTTAAGATAAATATGCAAATTAACTATACACGTGACAAAAAGTAGTGATACTTTTGTGACAAAAGTATTTGAAACCTACTTCTTGGTATAAACAAGGTACTTTCTTTATCCTGGTAGGCTGAGAAAGTGTTTTTTAATTGAATCTCCCACATAAAGTGCATATTCTAAAACTTAGACTTACTGCCCAAGCCTCACTGTCTGTCCATAGTGTGGACGGGAGGTGGTAAGAGAAAATGGGACCTGACGGTAGTATGAACCTGAAGGCAGGTACAAAGTGACGTTATTGAGAGGTAGCCCTGAGTTCACTGTTGCTTCCTTTAATCTGAAATATATTTCCTTTTCATATTAAACAAAATAATAATATGGTCTGTTTGAAATTATTGATAGAACTCTACAAATTAGACTTGTTGGTGCCTAGTTTCAATGCTTTCAAAGAATTACTTATATGTTCCTTTGGTCACCTTACACAGACCACAGTAATATAGAAAGCAATTGTTTTAAAGAAGGAGTCTTAATTTCTTAGCATTTCTGTTTGTCAGCTGCCATGCCTCCTTCCCTACATTCAGTTTTACTGCAGCACTAATGAGTAGCAGAGTAGAGAAAACATGGACTTTGGAGTCAGACAGGTCTGCGTCAGATAAGAGTTCAAACCCACTAACTGCAATAAACTTGGGCAAGATAGTTAATCCTGTCAGAGCCTCAATTTACTCCTGAGTAAAATGTAGAAAACATTGCCTCCTCATTAAGGTAGGAGTACTAAATTAGATAACTTATAGAACACCTCATAGTTCCGAGTAAGTAATAGACATGAGTGAATAATAGTTATCACTAGATGGAGTGCAAATCCGATGGCACCCCAGATGCTTGTGCACTGCACGGTTTAGATACCAGCTGGAAGGGCTGTGAAGGTTAATTTAGCTAAGAAAGCATGTAATGTGCATTGTAATCACCGCCATACATTATGCCAAGCATTTTACATAGTCACAGATATTCTCATTTCATCTTTGTAACAACCCAATAAAGTAGTTACTGTTATTACCCCCATTTTCTAGGACAGAAAACCAAGTTCTGACTTCCCCATTCAGTACCCTTTCAGTTTACAGGTAAAGCTGAGGCAAAAAGGGTGAAACAGACTTGTATGAGTTCAGATTAGTGACAGGGACAGCCCCAGAACCTATTTTTTAAAGAGTAGGAGGTACTCAGAATATTCAAACCTAAAGTCCAGATTTATTTCCCCTTTCACATTGGCAGAACGTACTTATTTCCCCTAAGTTTTGGAAGTAAAATGATCAACTGGGAGTGGGGGAATCTAAGGCATAAAAGATGTAAATGTGATCTGAATAAAGATAAAAAGTATAATACACACTGTGATTCTGATCCCTGTGGTCTCAAGGTCCACAGGGTGTAAGGGGGCAGTACAAGAGTTTAGGCTGCATCACGGAGGGTCCCACTGGGTCACAAGAACCAGAATGGAGGTTATTTGCTGGGCCAGGCCCAGCTAGGGCTCAGCAGACCAGGTCTATGGCTCAAGCATTTCTTATACCTGGAGCCGAGCTTATGGCTAACTGCCTGTGAACCCCCAGGTTCTCTGCAAATCCCCGTTCAATTCCTAGCCCTGCCCTCCTTAAACCCTTACTATTATTACTCGCTTTAAGCTATCATTTCTCTCTGTGGAGTCCTAATCCTCTTTGAAATGATATATTTATACTTCAACAGCTCAGCGTATTAATGGGGCAGGTCATGGTCAACTGACCCACATGAAAAGCCAATTGAATTTTAGATTCTTTAGCCAGAGTCTAAATCAAGTGATATCTCATTCATACAATTTTTTAATGTCCTTTAATCACTCCTCAATTTTGCTTAAATATCCATAAATATGAAGAGATGGTCAGGGATGACACCATCTTCACACCGAGCCAGTTGAGTCACTGTTGGTTCAGAGCCAGAGCCACTGATGGGCACATGCCTTCAGGTGTGATGAGATGGAGAAAGGTGGAAATCACCGAGCAGGATCTTCAAGGCCTCTTCTAGTTCTAAAGGCCCATTATCTTTCACATCGATAAATACCTGCTAACCCAGGCACTCAAAGGAGTCAAGAGGAGTTGTCTTGCAAAATTAAGGACTAATAGCTCCCATTAATTCAACACTAACTGTGTGTCATGCACTTTGCTCTGTTACTCAATAAGTGTTTGAGTTTCTTGTATGTGCCAAGCACTGTCCTAGGCATTGGGAATTGCATGGTGTACAAGGTGAAGTCCCCCTCCTCAAGCATCTTAGACTCTATAGGGAGGACATAATAAGGAAAAAAATAAGATAGTTTCAACTTTAGTTAAACACTATGAAGAAAATGAAGTAAGATGATGTCAGAATTCCTTGAGGGGAGACGGTCAAGGAGGCAGCCATGTGAAGACCTGAGGGGAGAGCAGTCCAAGCAGCAGGACCAGTCAGTGCTAAGACCCAGTGAGCTTGGTGTGTCAGCAGACAGGGACAGGGGAACATGACCACAGCAGGCAGGGGCAGATGATATAATGCGTCATGGCCATGGGGAGCAGTATGGGTTTTATTCTGAGTGCAATGGGAAGCCATTGGAGGGTTTGGAGTGGGTGAGTGAGGATCTGATTTATGCCTTAGAACACACTACTCTGGCTGCTGGGTAGGGGCTGTGAGGAGGGGGTTGTTAGGAGGGGCAGGAAGACTGGTTAGGGCCTTCTGCAGCGGCCCAGGTGAGAGGATATGGCCTGGACTGGAGTTGTAGTGGAGGTGATGAAAAGTGGTTGATTCAGGGTATAGTTTAGAGGTGGAGCTGATGGAATGACCTCCTAATAGATCAAAATGAGACCTAGATGTCAAGAATGACATCTAAGTTTGGGCCTAAGCAACTGGGTAAATGATGATGCCATGACTGCAGTTGAGAAGGGATTTGGGAAGAAAATCAGTAGTTTGGCCTTGGCCTTGCTGAGTTTGCCATCTGAGGATAGATGTCCAGTAGGCGGCTGAGTTCATGAATCTGAGTTCTGGAGAGAGTCCAGGCTGAAGATATAAGTGTGGAAGCCGTCGGCCTACAACTGGTATGTAATGTTGGGGATGGGGAGAATGTGGGTAGATGAGAAGGGTACCAAGAACAAGCCTGGGAAGCCCCACGCATGTAGAGATCTGGTAAAATGGAGGCGATGAGCCATCAGTGAGGTTGGAGTGAAACCAGACAAGTGTGGGTCCTTGAAACCTGAGTATTTGGAGGAAGAATTCACTTGGCGAACCATGATGAATCTGCTGGCAAGCTGAGTAACGAAAGCAGGTCATTGGTGACCCCTGTACAAGCCTTGTCCATGGAGTGATGGGGACGAGCATCCAATTGGAGTAAGTTGAGGAGAGAATAAGAAAGATGAGGACAGAAGACAGGTTTGAGAATGGTCAGTTATTTATTGTTACCCTAGAAAAATACCCAGATTTAGTAGCTTAAAGTGAAGACAACATTTACTTTGCACACAAATCTGCAGT